TCTTCAGCTCAAGGCGAGCGCTCTACCACTTGAGCTACAGCGCCACTTCCGGTTTTCTGGTAGTTTATTGGAGATAGGAGTCTCACGGTCTCTCCAGCCCGGGCTGGCTTTGAACCTCTATCCTCAGATCTCAGCTTCCTGAGTAGCTAGGATTACAGGTGTGAGCCACCAGCGCCCGGCTCCTAATTACAGTTTTTATGACAGCGAAAATGTGGGGGGAAAAAAACCTTAATTCATTCATCAACGAATGAATAAGTAAAATGCCATATGCAAATACAGTGGAATAATACTCTTCAATAAAAGTAAGTGAAGTGTTTGAAACATGGTAAATGTGAATGAACTCTAAAGAGCTTAGGTACAGTGACAGAACTCTATTACAAAAGAGCACATGTTGGGGCTGGGAAGGTGGCTCAGTGGTAGAGCACTTGCTTTGCATGCCTGAGGCCCTGGGTTCGATTCCTCAGCACCACATAAGCAAAAAGAAAAAAGCCAGAAGTGGCGCTGTGGCTCAAGTGGTAGAGCATTAGCCTTGAGCTGAATTGCTGAGGGACAGCGCCCAGGCCCAGAGTTCAGGCCCCACAACCGGACCCCCCCCAAAAAAAAGAGCACATGTTACATGATTCTGCTTATGTGAAATGTCAAAAATGGGAAAATTCATAATGCGTAAGACTAGGAGAGACTACTGCTAAGTGGATAGGCTTTCTTTTTAGAGTTATGAAAAAATTCTAAAATTGATTGATATTGTATAACTCTGAGTATGCCAAAAGCATTGCTTGTATCCTTTAGAAGGGTGAATTGTATGCTATGTGACTCATATCTCAATAAAGTTGTTTTTTAAAAAAAAACTTCTAGGGGCTGGGAAGGTGGCTCAGTGGTAGAGCGCTTGCCTTGCATGCCTGAGGCCCTGGGTTCAATTCCTCAGCACCACATAAGAAAAAAGAAAAAAGCCAGAAGTGGCGCTGTGGCTCAAGTGGTAGAGCGCTAACCTTGAGCTGAAGAGCTGAGGGACAGCGCCCAGGTCCAGAGTTTAGGTCCCACGACCGGACCCAAAAAACAAAAAACTTCTAGATTTAATCCCAAGTAATGCAACACACACACACACACACACATATCTCAAAAGCATAAAGAAAGGGGGGACATGGCTGATCACACCTGTAATCCTAGCTACTCAGGGAGGCAGAACTTGGGAGGACCATGGCTGCAAAGCCAGCCCAAACAAAAAGTTCCTATGATCACATCTCAATCGATAAAAAGCTGGGTGTTGTATCATACCCCTATCACCCCAGCTATATGGGATGGCTTAATGGGAAGATTGTGGTTCAGACTGGCCCAAGAAAAAGTGTAACCTATTCAAAACAATAATGACAGCAGGGCTTGGAAGGTGGCTCAGTGGTAGAGTGCTTGCCTTGCATGCATGAGGTCCTGGGTTCAATTCCTCAGTACCACATAAGCAGAAAAAGCTGGAAGTGGTGCTATGGCTCAAGTGGTAGAGTGCTAGCCTTGAGCTGAAGAGCTGAGGGACAGTACCCAGGCCCAGAGTTCAGGCCCTACAACTGACAAAAAATAAAAGAGGCTGAGGTAAGAAGACCATAAATTAAAAGCCAGCATGGAAAAAAAAAAGCCAGCATGGGCTACATAGTGAGATTTTGTTTCAAACAATCAAACAAACAAGAAATATATATATATATATATATATATATAATTTCAGCATTTAGGAGGCAGAGTTCCAGACTAGCCTGAGCTACATAGCCAGATGGTCTCATAAAACCAAGCATTGGGACATGGCTCAGTGGTAGAGTACTTGCCTACTACATTCAAGAGTACCTCCAAACACTTTTTATTCTGTGTCAGTACCAGGGTTTAAATTCAGGGCCTCCTACTTACTCAGCTAGTTGGTTCTCCTAGCATCTCAATACAAAATCAAACAATAGCACATAAGACAATACTATACATTTGCTCATAGATATATTTGTATGAGTACAAGATGAAAGGAACCTAGAAGGACAAATATTAGACTTATACCAGGGATACCTGCAGGATGCAGGGGCACAGTGGGTAGATCACAGAGGAATTGGCTTTACTATAATTCTTTTGGTTCCTGTTTTTGAGACAGGGTCTCACTATGGAGCTTGGGTTGGCCTTAAACTCTAAATCTTACTGTTTCCACCTTCCTGGAATTACAGGCATTTGCCATAAATTATTATTATTGTTGTTGTTGTTGTGTGAGTTCTAGTCCTGGGACTTGAACTCAGGCCCTGAGTTCCTGAGCTTTTCTTTGCTCACGACTAGTGCTCTACCACTGTAGTACAACTCACTTCTGGCTTTTTAGTGGTTAATTGAAGATAAGAGTCTTTCCTGCCCAAGCTGGCTTGAAACAGCAATCCTCAGATCTTAGCCTCTTAAGACTAGGATTACAGGCATGAGCTACTGACACCACCCTAAATTAATTAAAGAGTTTTTTAGGCTGGAGGTATGGCTCAAATGGTAAAATACCTGCTGAGCAAGTGCAAGACCCTGGACTTCAAACCCCAGTTAAAAAAAGTGGCAGGGGTGGGGATGGGGGTGGGGGCAGAATCTTGGTGAGGAGATAAATCACCCCACTCTCTTTCGTTCGTTCTTTCTTCCTTCCTTTCTTCTTTCCTTCCTTCGTTCCTTCCTCCCTCCCTACCTCCCTCCCTTCCTCCTTCCTTCCTTTCAGAGTAAAGGCCCCAAAGCTGTCATCAGCATCAAGGATTTGAACGCTACCTTCCAGACAGAGAAGATAGGGCACCCACATGGGCTGCAGATCACCTACAAGAGAGAGGGCCGCAACCGGAACCTGTTTGTATATCATGAAAGTGGGAAGGTAAGCCCCCAGCGTGGTGCCTGGGACTTGGCAGGCTCCGCTTGCCACTCCATTGTACATTTCCTGAGGTCCCACAGCCAGCGGCTCCTCAGTTATTACCACCCTACATGTCCCTGCTGGAGGGAGAGTCAGGACCCAGTTGCGGGGACTGGGCCTCCCCAATGGTTGCTCACACTGCGGTGGTGACGCAGGTCACTCTGCCAGCAGCCTCCATGCTTCCTTCCTCCTGGGTTAGGGCAGAGAGCCTGGTGGTGTAGTCTGAAGAGCAGAGGTCTTGGAGCCCTGGCTGCTGCAGTCAGCTGTGTTCCTGGGTAGCCTCTTTGCTGCTGAGTGTGTGTGCTTGTCTGTGGACTCTAGCACCCAGTGACTGGGAGCTGTGCATGGGAAAGAATTTCATGATCATGAAGTGACTTACAAACAGTTGCTGCATTACCTGTGTGTGATTATAGTAGTGATGTAAAGGACATCTTATGGGCAATTGCATCTCTGTATTATTTATTGCTGGGTGAATTCAGTCTTTTAACACATCTTTCTTGAGCTCCTGCGATGTGCAAAGGTTCCAAGGACTGTGGCAGTGAATGGGGCAGAGTTGTGGGCCTCAAGGAAGGTGGAGGCAAAGGCACTGATGATGACAGTGATGACAGTGGTCAGCACTCTGGAGACACAGAGATAGGCAAACATCTTAGGTTTTCCTAGGACAAAAAGCAAAAAGGCTTCCCAAGCCGGGCACTAGTGGCTCACACCTGTAATCCTAACTACTCAGGAGGCTGAGATCTGAGGATCATGGTTCAAAGCCAGCCTAGGCAGGAAAATCTATGAGACTCATCTCCTTAGAAAAAGTTGAAAGTGGCACTGTGGCTCAAGTGGTAGAGTGCTAGCCTTGAGCAAAAGGAGCTCAGGGACAGTGCCCAGGCCCAGAGTTCAAGCCTCAGGACCCGCCAAAAAAAAGCTTTCCAAACAAATAATACAGAGATCCAAAGTATCTATCTGTATATGGGGAAAGGAAAAGGTTTCCAGAATAAGCTTTCCAGAGCAAGAAGTTTCTGCTTCAGTATTGGTAACTGCTATAAATCCGCTACAATCTGGCTAGAAGGACCCAAACAAGAAAGGCACATAGTATTTACCAAGGGCCAGAAGTAATATAGTAATATAGCCTGAGAGAGAGAGGAATCAGGAGTGTGTGTGTGTGTGTGTGTGTGTAAGGGAGGGAGAGAGACAGAGGAAAAGGGGGAAGAAATGAAGAGATAACAAGAGGAGAAAGGTAGAAAGGGAGAGAGTATACTCCTTCTAACAGGGGCAAATTATTCTGTAATCCCAAGGGTCAGATGATTTCACACCCCTTTGTTTCTGTACATTGAAGAGCCTCATTTCCAAAACTAGTAAGAAATCTAAAATCACTTACCTTTCCCAGTTTCCTTGATTGACTTTACCAAAATCTTAGGAGTTGGGTAGTCTGGGAGATACAGAGGGGACTCCTGGTTCTCAGTCTGTGGAGTTTGGGATGTCTGCCAATTGGCTAGACACTTTGAGCAATCCTTCCATGTCAGATGGTCACTACCATGACTTTGCTAGGTCTCTGAAACTGGTGTGACCTGCTCCCTCCCATTTGCCCAGTTGTGGAGGCCGCCCCTTCTCCCATTTCCCTTGATGCCCCCAGCCACTCCTGCCTCTCTGTTAGAGGAACATCAATGAAGAGCTGAAAATGTGCCTGCAGGAGTCAGATAGGTAGTCTGTGTGTGTGTGTGTGTGTGTGTGTGTGTGTGTGTGTGTGTGTCTGTGTGTGTGTCTGTGTGTGTGTGTTACTAGAGTTTGAATCTAGGACTTTGTGCTCACTTAGGAAGGTACTTTACTACTTTAACCACACTTCATATTTCCATCCCTATTTGCTGGACTTACTTTTCAGATAGTCTTGTGCTTACTCCTATTTTTGCTTTCCTCACAGCTGGATAACAGTGTGGCCAGCCTTTTACTGATTGAGATGAGGTCTTGAAAACATTTTTTGCTCTGGCTGGATTCCAATTGCAATTCTCCCAGTTTACAAGTGGGCTCAGATATAATTTAAAAATAAAGTAGACTAGCGTGAAAGCTGGGTTGGTGTGCTGCATAAATAGGAGAGCCTGCATAGAGGATTGGAACAAAAAAATTTTAAGGAGCTAAATGAATATGTATACAAATTGGATTTGTCCCCACCAGCCTGTGATTTGAGAGACCTTGTAGAGTGAAAACTTGAATACAGCTTTTCTGGGTTGGCCTCATTCACTTAGTGCCTGAGATCCAGGAAGAGTCTTTCTGTTTTGGTTTTGTCTAGTTTGTTTGTTATTGGAGGCAAGATCTAGCCTCAACAACTGTGTGGGAGCATGCACATGTGGGGGCATGTTAAGAAGTTGCCTGACTTGGAGTCCTCTCTGCTATCCTAAATTCTTTTACCTATTAGCTTCTTCCATTTACCACTACTACAACCCACCTAACTCATTCATATTCTCATCTCCTGGGACACTCTGTCTCTCCAAAATTTCCCACACTTCCACCTTTTTTTTTTCTTTTTAATTTTTTTTTTGAGTTGGTCATAGGGGCTGAACTCTGGACCTGGGCGCTGTCCCTCAGCTCTTCAGCTCAAGGCTAGTGCTCTACCACTTGAGCCACAGTGCCACGTCCAGCTTTTTCTGCTTATGTGGTGCTGAGGAATTGAACCCAGGGCTTCATGCATGTGAGGCAAGCACTCGACCAGTGAGTCACCTTCCCAGCCCATCCACCTTTTTTTTTTAATCTTTCCTTTTTTTGCCAGTCCTGGGGCCTGAACTCAGGGCCTAGGCACTGTCCCTGAGGTTCTTTTGTTCAAGGCTAGCACTCTACCAGTTGGGCCACAGCACTACTAATAGCTTTTTCTGTTTATGTGGCACTGAGGAATCAAACCCATGGCTTCATGAATGCTAAGCAAGCACTCTACCACTAAGCCACCTTCCTAGCCTACCTCCACCTTTTACTTACAACACTCTGCTCATCCTGTGGATTTCTCTATCTATCTATCTACCTACCTACCTACCTATCTATCTATCTATTTATTTTTGTGCCTGTTCTAGGGCTTGAACTCAGGTTCTAGAAGTTGTCTCTGAGGTTTGTTGTTGTTGTTGCTGTTGTTCCACTCAAGTCTAGTGCTGTACTATTTGAGCCACAGCTCCACTTCTGGCTTTTTAGTGGTTAATTGGAGCTAAGAGTCTCATGGACTTTCTGCCTGGGCTGGCTTCAAACTATGATAATCAGATCTCAGCCTCCTGAGTAGCTAGGATGACAGGTGTGAGCCACTGACATCAGTACCTGCAGGGTTATTTTGATGAATTTTGGGCACTAAGGCTAAGCCCTGCTTCTCTGAGACCCATCTATTTGCCAGTGTGACATCCCTGCCCTTCCAGGGCAGCAGGGACTGGACTAGGACAAGATGATTCAAAGGCTGGAGCGAGCGCCTCACAATTGGAACTGGGCAGTTGGAAGACTTGTTCGAACAGCTGCAGTTCTGGACATGGATGTAACTCAGTGATTAAGAAATTCATTTGAATACACTTTCAAAATTATGAAACAATTTCCCTTTCTCCTCCTTAGGTCAAGCACACCTACTATTCTGAGCTTTTTTTTTTTTGTCAGTTGTGGGACTTGAACTCTGGTCCTGAGCACTGTCCCTCAGCTCTTCAGCTCAAGGCTAGCGCTCTACCACTTGAGCCACAGCGCCACTTCCTGAGCTTTTTTTTTTTTGTCCTGGCGTTTGCCCCATAACTGAGAACCCTCACCGCCACCAGACTTGGCCCCTTCCCCTCCATCTCACTGGCTGTCTGTATCCTTTGCATTTCTTCTGGCAGGAGATAGTAGACTGGTTCAATGCCCTTCGTGCAGCCCGTTTACAATACCTCAAAGTGGCCTTTCCTGAGCAACCAGAGGCTGAGGTGAGTGAATGTGGGCCCCAGCTTCTGACTCTCCCTGCTGCCACCTCCTTCTCTCTTTGACTCCTGACCCCAAGATACTCAGAGGCTCCACTAGATTTGTGGTAATGCAAGGCCTTGGAACTTGGGGGCTGGGCACCTCAAAAGGAAGCACCATGTCTGGCTCACAAAGTGTGTTTGAGCCTATTTTATCTTGCAATTCTAAAAAAGAAAGAAAGAAGGAAAGAACACTCAAAAAACAATCTAAGGCTGGGAAGGTGGCTCAGTGGTAAAGCGCTTGCCTTGCATGCATGAGGCCCTGGGTTCAATTCCTCAGCACCACATAAGCAAAAAAAGAAAAAAACCAGAAGTGGTGCTATGGCTCAAGTGGCAGAGTGCTAGCCTTGAGCTGAAGAGCTGAGGGACAGCACCCAGGCCCAGAGTTCAGGCTAGGATGTAGCTCAGTGGCAAAGCACTTGTCTAGCTAGTACAACATCTTGGGTTTGATTCCCATTCCATAAAAGAACAGACCAAAAAAATTCTAGCCAGGTGCTTGTGGCTCAGACCCATAATCCTAGCTATTCAGGAAGATTGTGGTTTGAAGCCAGCCCAGGAAGGAAAGTCTATGAGATGCTTATCTCCACTACAATACAAAACAAACCCAAAACAATACCAACCCTTCCCCCCAAACAACAACAACAACAACCCAGAAATGGAGCTGTGGCTCAAATAGTAGAGTGCTAGCTATGCACTAAAGAAGCTCAGGGATAAGCCAGGTGCCAGTGGTTTACACCTGTAATCCTAGCTCTCGGGAGGCTGAGATCTGAGAATCACAATCTCGGTTCAAAGCCAGCCTAAGTAGGAAAGTCCCTGAAACTCTTATCTCCAATAAACCACCAGAAAACCGGAAGTGGGGCTGTAGCTCAAGTGGTAGAACTCTGGCTTTGAGCTGAAGAGCTGAGGGACAGCGCTCAGGCCCAGAGTTCAAGCCCTATGACCAACAACAACAACAAAAAAAGCAGCTCAGGGATAGTGTCCAGGCCCCAGGATTGGAACACACACACACACACACACACACAGAGTCTATTAATCCCTTAGATTAGTTAGGTGGAGTGATTATTCTCATTTTGCTGATGAAAACCTGAGTCCCAGGAAGGTCACTTGAGTATCTGAAGGTGCTCTTTCTACTCTAACATCAGGGAAATCTTGGGTACCTCCCCATTACAATTTTTTTTTTTTGGGTCCTGTCGTGGGGCCTGAACTCTGGCCTGGGCACTGTCCCTCAGCTCTTCAGCTCAAGGCTAGCACTCTACCACTTGAGCCACAGCGCCACTTCCGGCT